TGCCATACAGTAAGATATTGTTTTATATATTTTATACATAGGAGTGTGTCCATGTTAATCCCAAACTCCTGCTTTATCCCTCCCTCTGTTTTCCCTTTTGTAATTGTAATTTTGTTTTCTATGTCTGTTTGTTTTCTGTGAGTCTATTTCTGTTTTGTAAACAAGTTCATTTGTATCATTCAAAAAATTCCACATATATGTGGAATTTATTCACATGGTAAATTCTGTGTCTTTGACTCCCTTTACTTGGTGATCCCTGGGTCCGTCCACGTTGCTGCAGGTGGCGTCACCCACTCCTTTTTCATGGCTGAGTAGCATTCCACTGCAGGCCTCCCGAGTGGCTCACTGGTGAAGAATCAGCCTGCCAAGCAGGAGACACAGGTTCACTCCCTGGTCTGCGAAAGTCCTCTGGACAAGGAAATGGCAACTCACCCTGGTATTCTTGCCTGGGAAATCCCATGGACAGAGGAACCTGGCAGACTGCACTCCATAGGGTTTCAAAGAGTTGCACATGACCTAGTGACTAAACAACAACACTATCCCATTGTGTGTATATTCTCCACATCTTCTTTATCCATTCATTTGTTGATGGACACTTAGGTTACTTCCGTGGCCTGGCTACTGTGAATAGTAATGCTATGAACATTGGGGTGCATGTATCTTTTTGAGCTTTGGCTTCTCTGGATTCATACAGGGACAGCCTTCTCTGTATAAATGATCTGAAGCAGGCAGAAAGGACTTCAAGGCAGAAGTGGTATAACTAAGCCCAGAACACACCGAGGACCCCTTGAGCCAGAGCCCAGTGTTCCTGACTGGCAGGGCTGTTTGGAGGAAGGGGCGTTTTTCCATATTCACTCATGGACAGTCAGGTCAGGAGACTGGACATCACTAGGTTTTACCTTGTGTGAATTCTTTTTTGCAGGGCCTTGCATACAAGTAAAGCAGGGCTGTCTACCAGCAGCAACAGTGAGCCTCACCACACAGATGAGCTGCTCTCTCTGGCAATTTATTAGGCTTCTTCATTCTGGCTTTCAAAGAAGAGAGACATTGAGATTTTATTTTTAATAAAAATGAAATAGAATTCCAGTTCTGCTATGGCAGAGTGATGCCACCATAGCCTCTCTCTCCTGCTGATCACAACAGAAACTCTGGGTAGAATGCAAAGCAGTTACCCAGGAATATGAGAATAAAAGTGTGTAGATCGCAGGTGGGAATCAAAAACAGGAAAAGCATCCCAAGAATGGTCAGTTCCCTGGGTTTCCTCTTCTGTCTCAGTGCTCTGCCTCAGGGCAGCCCAGTCATGGACTCTCTCAGTATGGGAGAGAGTGTGCATGGGTCTTGAGAGTCTCAGGGCAGACAGAGAGCAGCATGGCACAGGCCAGGCATGGGCCGTGAGAACCAGGCTAAGATGCAGCCTCAGCCCAGGTCTCAGACTAACCCCCTAGGGGCGGCAGAGCCAAGCACTTGAGGCATCACCCCAAAATCAGAGATGCTGGCACTCAGCCCCACAGCACAGTGGGATGGGACAGGGAGTAAGACAGAACTTGGGGTTTGAACCCAGTCAGCTTGATAACTTGCTAAAAAATTCAACATTCCCCAGAAAATTGGAGCCTAACCCTAGATACATCAGTAATAATGTTGAATGCATCAATTAAATGGTGATCAGTTTAGATAGACATACCAATATCCAGCTACATGCTGGCTTCATAAAACTACTATAGCTATAAAGACTTAGGTAGATTGAAAAGAAAAGAATATGATAGACTATATCATGAAAGCTCAAAACCGAAAGGCTGTATTAATGTTAGACAAAGTAGACTTCAGACCACAGAATGTTTCCAGGGTGAGGAACACCACTAGTCAAGAAGATAGAGCAAACCCAAATGTGTATTCTCCTAAGAATGGAATTTCAAAAGTGAAGCAGAAACTTACAGATGTGAAAGGAGAAATGAATCCATAGTTAAAGCTGATGACTTCACTTGTTCAGTAATCAGTAGGACAGGTAGACAGAAAGTCCACAGAGATGTAGAAAATCTAAACAGCACCATCAGCCTTCTTGTTTAATTAATTAATTAAGTGAACATTTACTGAACACTCATCCCAACAATAGCAAGTACATTTCTTTCATGTGGACATGGGGCACTCACAATACATACTATTAATATATTCTGGGTCATAAAGCAAATGGTAGTAAATGTCAGCAAATTTGGAAAACAGCAGTGACCAAAGGACTGGAAAAGGTCAGTTTTCATTCCAATCCCAAAGAAAGGCAACACCAAAGAATGTTCAAACTACCCTACAATTGTGCTTATTTCACACTCTAGGAAGATAATGCTCAAAATCCTTTGAGCTAGGCTTCAACAGTACATGAATTGAGAACTTCCAGATATACAAGCTTTATTTAGAAAAAGCAGAGGAATCAGAGATTAAATTGCCAACATCCATTGGATCATAGAAAAAGGGAATTCCAGAAAAACATCTACTTCTGCTTCATCAACTATGCTACAGCTTTGACTGTGTGGATCACAGAAAACCGTGGAAAAATTCTTAGATAGGAATACCAGACTACCTTACCTGCCTTCTGAGAAAACTGTGTGCAGGTCAAAAAGCAACAGTTAGAACCAGACATGGAACAACAGACTGGTTCCAAATTGGGAAAGGAGTACATCAAGGCTGTATGTTGTCACCCTGCTTATTTAACTTATATTCAGAGTACATCATGTGAAATGCTGGGCTGGATGAATCACAAGCTGGAATCAAGATTGCTGGGAGAAATACTAACAATCTCAGATATGCAGATGACACCACTCAAATGGCAGAAAGTGAGGAGGAACTAAAGAGCCTCTTGATGAGGGTGAAAGAGGAGAGTGAAAAAGCTGGTTTAAAACTCAACATTCAGAAAATTAAGATCATGGCATCCAGTCTCACCACTTTATGACAAATAGAAGGGGGAAAGTGGAAGCAGTGACATATTTTCTTTTTTTGAGTTCCAAAATCAGCTGTGGATGATGACTGCAGTCATGAAATTAAAAGACACTTGCTCCTTGGAAGAAAAGCTATGACAAATCCAGACAGTGTATTAAAAAGCAGAGACATCACTTTGCCAACAAAGGTCTATATAATCAAAACTGGTTTTTCCAGAGGTCACATACCAATCTGGGCTTCCCTGGTAGCTCAGCTGGTAAAGAATCTGTCTGCAATGTAGGAAACCCTGGTTCAATTCCTCGGTCGGAAAGATTCCGTGGAGAAGGGAACAGCTATCCACTCCAGTATTTTGATGTGGAGAATTCCATGGACTACATAGTCCCTGGGGTTGCAAAGAGTTGGACACGACTGAGCAACTTTCACTTTGATGTACCAATATAGGAATTGGTCCATAAAGAAGGCTGAGTGCTAAAGAACCAATGCATTCGAACTGTGGTACTGGGGAAGACTTTTGAGAGCAAGTGTCTTGGAGAGCAAGGAGCTCAAACTAGTCAATCCTAAAGCAAATCAACCTTGAGTATTCATTGGAAGGACTGTTGCTGAAACTGAAGCTCCAATACTTTGGCCACCTGATGCAAAGAGCTGACTCATTGGAAAAGACCCTGATGCTGGGAAAGACTGAGTGTGGGAGGAGAAGTGGGCAACAGAGGATGAGATGGTGGGATGGCATCAATGGACTTGACTGACTCAATGGACTTGAGTTTGAGCAAACTCCAGGAGATAGTGGAGGATAGGGAAGACAGGCAGGCTGCAGTCCACGGGGTCGCAAAGTATTGGAGTCTCAGCTTCAGCATCAGTCCTTCCAGTGAATATTCAGGGTTGATTTCCTTTAGGATTGACTGGTTTGATCTCTTTGCAGTCCAGGGGACTCTCAAGAGTCTATTTCAGCACCGCAGTTTGAAAGCATCAGTTCTTCGGTGCTCAGCCTTTATGGCCAGAGGACAGGTAGAGGCAAATTCCCATCTAAGATGTAGGCAGAGGCCTCTTCCTCTTTTGGGTAACTGACATGGGTGGTAACTGACATGGTTGTAGGTGTGAGCACCCCCCTTACAGGTCAGCCCCCACACCAACTCCAACTTTAGCTGAGGTTTTGGTAAATAATTCCACAATATTTAGCAAGGAAAATGAAAACTTTGTTCACACAAAACCCGGTATGGAAATATTTATATTAGTTTTATCTGTAATTGCCAATACTGGGAACAACCCAAATGTCCTTCACCTGCTGGATGCATAGGGCTTCCCAGGTGGCTCAGTGGGTAAACAATCTGCCTGTAAAGTAAGAGCGCAGGCAGATGTGAGTTTGATTTCCAGTTCAGGAAGATCCCCTGTAGGAGGACATGGCAGTCCACTTCAATATTCTTCCCTGCAGAATCCTGTGGACAGAGAATCTGGTGGCCTATAGTCCATGAGTTGCACAGAGTCAGACATGACTAAAGCGACTTAGCATGCAAGCACGCGTGTGCTGGGTGCGTGAGGAAACTGTGATACATCCGTAAAACAGGCTAGTTCTCATCAACAAACAGCTCAGACTCCGGGTGCACCAACAGCATGGCGACCCTCAAGTGTGTCATCTCAGCGGAAGGAACCTGGCCCTGTGTGATTCCGCTTATGTGGTACTTGACAAAGGAGAACATCAGTTCAGAAAAAAGCTGGTGGTTGCATGGCAGCGGCACTCGGGGAGAGGTGGTGGCAGGACTCAGAACTGTGAGCCAGAAAGGGCCGAGGTCACTGCCTGGGAATGATGACAGGCTGAAAAAGGCACCTTTGCTGTCAAGCACCCGCCAGTTCCCAAGTGGTGCCCAGCCAGTCCTTGGCCGCCTGGAGCTGCGCTGGTGGCCAGGCAGAGCTCAGCAGGCTCGTTGGGTGGGTGATCCTGGCTCCAAGTGGCCTTGCTAGAGGCCTTGGGGAGTGGGGTGCTGAGAACTGAGATGCTTGAGAATGCACGACGGCTGGGGGAGCCAGGCTCTGTGGTCTCAGGGCCGGCTGACGCGGGCTGATCGGGGCTGTCATTGCAGGGCCACGCCGCGCCGTACAAAACGGTGTCTGCCCGTGCTGCCGTCCCCTCCACCATCCTCCGGCTCCCAGCTATGGCTTTTCAAGGAGTTTTTGAGAGATATCCTGAAACTCTGGTGAGGGTGGTGCAGGTGAGTTACTTTTCCAGGCAGTCTCTCTGGTGCCCTGGCGGTCTCAGGGAGGGGCCCAGGGTCGAGGCCCTGAGTATCTCATCATCGGTTTACTGAGTCCCGGGGCCATGAGACATGTCCGCAGTAGTGGAAGTGACTTCACTGGCAGGACTGAGTGCTGGCGACATGGGGCTCAGGGTGGGTGTCAGAGGAACTAAGATGGTTTTTTCAGAATCTTGTGATACGTATTTTCCTGTAAAAATTAATATTGATAGCTTCAATGAGGTCTTCAATTGCCTACTGTGTCCCAGAAGAAGTCTTGTTATTATTAAATGTCTTGACTTGAAGTAATTTTAGAAACTTGCAGAAGCCATGCAGTTTCCTTCTGCCCCGTGCCCACACCTGGCATGAGGGTTGGGTTGTCTCCACCAGGGGCTCTCCGGCCCATGAGGCCGGCGGGCTCAGCCCTTGGCTTGGGGAGGCCCCCCCCCCGCCCAGCTGTCCCATCTCTCTGCAGATCATCATGGTACGGCTGCAGAGGGTCACCTTTCTGGCTCTGCACAACTACCTGGGCCTGACCACGGAGCTCTTCAACCCCGTGAGTGTGCCAGCACCCCACCATGGGTCCCTGGGACAGCCGCTTCTGCCTCAAGGGGCTGGCCAGCAGACAGGCCAGGGTGGGGTCTCCTGGGGCCCAGTGCTGCGCCTGTCCCACCTGTTGGGTCTCAGGGGCCTCCTGGGGACGTGCTGCCTGTCTGCGGGCCCTGCGCCCACGTGGCCCCCCTCCAGGAGGGCCTGCGGTTTGGCCGAACTCCGCCTCTCTGGTCTCCCTGCTCTGTGCATGTGGCTGCCCTCCCGGCTCTTCACCCCACCTGCGCTGAGCCAACACCCACCTCGGAGCTGTGCCCTCGGCCTGCCCCTTTCCCTGGGCCCCTCCTGAGGGCATGTGGGGCAGTGTGCCCTGCCCTCGACACTGCCTCAGTCGAGGCCAGTGGATTGAGCTGATGGCTGCGAGGTGGGAGAAGCCGCTTCACCCCCTCAGTTCTGGTGAGTGGTAAGCATGATGTGGGGCCCCGGGGGCGGGCCCAGAGCCTCGTGAGCCACACTCCAGGGGGCCCGAGGGCCTGCAGGCTGAGCGGCTGTTCACTCAGCCTCCACACCACGCTCGGGTGCGCTCCCGGTTCTCACATCTTCCTTTGCTGATACTTTAGGGTGTATCCTGTGTTTTCTACATTATATTTCATCTTCATGAAGTGTATTGAGGTTCTGACAGTTTTGACCACTATTTAAACATGATGGAGTTGGCAAGACAGCAGCGAGTTGGGTCTTTCTTGCCTTAAACTCTCCTCTTCCTGTGTTGCCGGTGCCCTAGTTGGTCACTGCCTCCCTTCCAGTCGCCAAAGCCTGGTGTCTCCCAGCTCGTGGGACGCTGGCCCAGGAGCGCTCCCGAGGCAGCCCTTCTTCTCCCTGTCTCAGGAGAGCCAGGCCATCCCACTCGTGTCTGTGGCCAGCGTGACTGCCGGGAAGGCCAAGAAGCCGACGTGCTGCAGTCTGGAGGAGCGGCCGGAGAGGCCACCTCGGCCCCAGGAGCCCTGCATCCCAGGTTCTGCCCGCCCCAGGGCCGACCTCCTGCCCTCGGGTCACCAGCTGTCCCCTCCAACACACATCCTGCCCCCCACTCTTCCTAGGAGAAAACCAGCCATGGGCGGGCCCTCAGCTTTGCCCTCTGCATGCCCTGCTCTGAGCACTCGGGGAGCGTGGGTTTGGGGAAGGAAACTGTTGACCGGGCTTGTCTCTTGGGAGTCCCCTCTGGGATGACGGTGACGCACAGAAACACTGACTGCTCTGGGTCCTATCCATTTATGAATGAGGAGCGGGGGCTGGGGGGGGGGGCAGGCTGGCCAGGCTCTTTGGAGGTGCTCAGAGCTGGGCGGCAGACCTGGGAGGGCAGCTGGGGCTGGTGCTCACTTGCCACTTGCCTGAGCAGACGGGCACAGGTGATGGGCTGGACAGGTGCGTGTGACACACAGCTGGCCTGTGGGGGCAGGTGGCAGGGTCCGCCGGGGACTGTCCCCAGGCCTCCAGACGTGTGGTCTGGGCGTTCTGGGAGCAGAGGTCTTGCCTCATGCCGGCTCCTCCCAGCAGATCACGGGGGCAGCCGCACTGCAGTCTGTGGGCCTCTGCCCAAGAGGAGCCACCCCGTCCTGCTGCCTTCTGTCCACGAAGAGGTGGTGGCCGAGCTCAGCCAGGCCCAGGCCGGCATCCAGGCCTCTTCAGCTCCCGCAGGTAAGGGACCCTCTAACCCACCCAGAGGGCCAGCACACTCTGGGTCCAGGGGCCCCTGCGCCTGTGTCCCGGCCTCCGTAGGAAGCCGCAGTCGCTCTGCATCCCTCCCCCGGCCTCTGTGTCCAGGGCGTTTCCCCAGCCAGGCCCTGCGCAGCCCTGCTGTAACCGCTGACCGCCGCCCTCCCTGTGCCCCTGAGCCGGGCTGTACTCGCAGGCTACTGCCTGCACTGTCTCCTTGGTGCCCCAGCCATCGCCCAGCTTCCCTCCCCAGGAGGTGCCTGCGCCGGCCCTCTCTGCTATCTGCTCTGTCTTCTCGAGTCTCGGCTGCAGAGAGGGTTCATCGTGACCTTCGGTCAGCAGTCAGCTCTCCTCCCTCTCCCGGGCACCTCCCTGATGGGACCTCTGCTGCGACCTCAGCTGGCCGATGAGACCTGCAGTGTGTGATTGCCCTCGGTGTGTCCCGGCCATGGGATGCTGCTGGTGCCCCCCTGAGGATTGCTCTGTCTTGTCTTCACCTGCGTTTCCTGGGTTGCTGGCCGGTTTAATGATCTCCTGGCATGTTTGAGAACTGTTTGGGTTCCCTTTTTAAGAACTGTCTGTTTATATTCTTTGCCCATTTTCTGCAGGGTTTCCTGAATTTGTTTTGTTGGTTTGCATAAATTTTTCATATGCTCCAGATAGAGATCTCCCATCAGTTTTAATGTCCACATACCTTCTCCCAGCCTCTGTTTTTGGGACAGAGACCCTCGGTGTCCTTATTTGAAAACCAGCTGTTGCACTGTGATTGTGTTCTGGGTCTCACTTACCTCTCCTTCTTATTGGACGTAAACACATTCTTCTGGATTCTTGTCTGGTGGCTTTTCAGTTTCACTTTCCACGTGGAAGTATTTCTTTTCTCGTGGTTCCCTCTTGCATTATATTCAAAGTAGGAAATTCAGCTTTTTCTTACTCTGTCTAGTGATAATTTACCCAGCACCATTCACAAAACAGTCTTTCACTTTCCTGTTGCATTTTCTAGAGCTGTCTTCATTCGGTATCAACTTTCTGATCTACATAGTTTTTTTTTTTTAAGTCAGCTTTCTTGAGGTAAAATTAACTTATCATAAAATTCACCCTTTTAATTATTTATTTTGGCCATGCCACATGGCTTGCAGGATCTTAGTTCCAAACCAGGGGAACTAAAGGGGTCTGAACCTGCACCCTCTGCAGTGGAAGCGTGGAGTCCTAACCACTGGAATGCCAGGGAAGTCCCAGACTTTACCCTTTTAAAGTACACAGTTCAGTGGTTTTTAGTATTTTCACAAAGTTGAACATCAGCCTCCACTACCTGTTCCCAGCGCATTTTCGTCACCTGGTAGAGAGACCCCCAACCCATCAGCTGTCACTCCCAGCTCTTGACTGCTTGCTGCCCGCTGCTTTGGTCTGTGGATCTGCCTGTCTTGAATGTTTCGTTACTTGGAGCTACTGTTGAGGAATCCTTGTGTTCTGTTTGTGTATTTATCAGTTTCTTCACTGATAGCAAATTATTCGTTATTGGCATGAACTGTTTATGGTTGCGTAATGTGCACACAGAATGTGCAAGCCCCCGGGCACTCTGGATGGATTTGCGTAAACCGAGCTCCGCTGTGGGGCCAGCACCCAGAAGGAACCCCGGCTGGGGACCGCGCAGTTCCTATCAGCAGTGGTGTGGTCGTCATCCGGCGCCCTTGCATTCCCCTGGCCTCTGAACCCTGAGACTGGCCTTGAGCTGGCTTCTGCTCAGCCTGGGGTTCGTGGCCTCAGAGTGCCATGCGGCAGCACACCATCCTCGGTGTGAAGCGTTGTCTCACTGTGAACACATGTGGCACCAGTGTGTCTGTGAGGTGTGTTATCTGTTTGTTTGGAACTGCCGAGTGGCGAGGGCATGTGTGTTGTGTTTAGCTTGGGAGTTGCTGCCAGGGGTTCTTAGTGCTTGCCCGGTTTATGCCCTCACCAGTGTCACAAGACTGTCTGGTTGCTCCAGTCTGCACAGTCCAAGACATGGCCCCCTGCCACATGTGGTGGCTTGTATTTAAATTCTAGCAGCTTGGGTCTCAGCCCCACTCAGGTGCTCATTGGCCTCGGGTGTCGGAGAGTCCACTCACAGGCCACGCCGCTGGGGACCATGCAGCTCAGAGGCCCCAGTGCTCCCTGGAAGTCTTCCTCTCTCATCTGGCCCCTCCGTGCCCTGCAGCCAGGCCTTGTGTGGCTGTCGCTCCATCTTCCTGATACCTTGTGAACCTGAGGATCGTCCATCTCCTTGGGGTTTTCACTGCCTTTTGGCCTTTTTCACTTAGTTTACCTTTCATTTTCGTTTTGATTTATATGAGTTCTTTATATATTCTCTGTATGAGCGCTCTATTGGATGTATGTATTAAAAATATTTTCTGCTCACTTTTCACTCTTTTAATAGTGTCTTTTGATGAACAGAAATCTTTTTAAGAGTCCTGTTGATCAAATTTTTTCTTTTGTTGTTAATATATTTTGTATCCTGTCTAGGAAATCTGCCTGTAAGATTTGACATTTTATCTTTCACGTGAAAGTGAAAGTTGCTCTTGTCCGACTCTTTGCGACCCCATGGAATTCTCCAGGCCAGAATACTGGAGTGGGTAACCTTTCCCTTCTCCAGGGGATCTTCCCAACCCAGGGATCAAACCCAGGTCTCCCACATTGCAGGCAGATTCTTTACCAGCTGAGCTATGAGGGAAGCCCTTTATCTTTCATACTCACCTAGAATTGAATCTTTTGTCTGAGGTGGGTAGGGTTGGGATATATTTCTTCTATGTGTTATCCATTTGCTCCACCATATTAAAAACATGTTTAGTGATTTTTTTTCAGATAAAATAAATAACAGATAACTAAAAATAACAGCAATCCACATATAACAAAATTTGAGTGTGAAGTATCCAGTTCCATGAATATATCTAGTTAACACCCATACAGGGACAGACTTAACATTCCTCTTGTCTGTACAGGTAATGCGCTCTTAGAGGACATGGTTCTGGCAAAAATCTGAGATATACTCAGTCGTCCTTGGCTTCCATAGGGGATTGGTTCAAGAACCTGCAGGAACCAAGTCCCTCCTATGAAAGGGTGCAGTGCAGTCAGATGGCCCCTCAGATGGGCCCTCAGGTTCCACATCCACGGATTTAACCAACTGCAGATCAAATTCCATAAACTGGCAAGTTATACTCAACAGTTTAAGTTTTATAGATTGTATGAGTGTAACAGCAGGTCAGTGTGGAAATGTATGACTTTTCACATATGCGTGTGTTCATCACAGGGAGTGTGGTTGGGTTTTCCCTGGGTCAGGAAGATTCCCTGGAGAAGGGAATGGCTGGTTCCTGTTAATAATCCATTTTTTACTTTTTCATACAAGTACAAACTGCATTCATTTCCCCCCTGAAGGGCGGTATTGAGGCAAAGTTGCTCTCAAACCATAGGCAGACCCATAGGTGCTCCTTCCCGCCTTCTGAGTCCCGCCGGCCCAGTGGGAGCTGCCCGCCTTGCTCCTCCCGCTTTGCCTGGGACTGGGCTTTGCCGGCCTTTGCAGGTCATGCGGTTGTGACTGCAGCCTTCTGTGAGTGCCTGAGGCTGCTGTCTCTAGTGTCCCCTACGCGTCTGTGCACTCAGCCAGCCCTGCCCTGGGTGGGTGCACACACCCGCTGTGTACAGGGCACCAGCATAGTATCCTGAGTCTCCCCTCCATTTGCAGGGGCCACAGCAGGTGCCACCTCAGACCTGAGGATGGTGTGTGACCGAGCCTGGGTCCCGCCGCACTCAGAAGAGCGCCCCGGGGGCGCTGTGGCCAGCAAGGTAGGCAGCTCCCCGCCCCGCCCCCTGCGCTGGAGCTCCCTGCAGGCCTGTCTTGGGTCAGTCCCAGGCTGGCCGGCCACCGCACCCTTCTGATCACGCTGCCTGTGTTCTTCTCCAGCCCAGGAAGAGTGTGGTTGTTGCAGAGACCCCATCGGCCGTCCTCCCCAACTCGGACAGTACCTTGGACGAGTCTGTCGCCAGCAAGAAGACAGATTCCATCCTCAGAGCCGCCACACAGGACCTGCTCACCCTGATGAAGCTGGATGTGCGTGACCCTGCTGCCTCCTCGGGCTGGGGTTGCGGGGTGGCGGGGGGGGCGGGGCGTCTGCCTGCCTGGAGACCCTGTCCTCAGAAAAGTCCCGCCTCTTCAGACAGCTGTTTCAGGGTAGGGGCGGCCATGGCCACCCCTTCCCCCGGGCAGGGCTCAGGACGGCGCCTGCTGGTCCTGATGCTGATGTCCCGCAGACCCCCTCCCAGGGAAGCCTGGGCTCCTTGCCCTCTGGGTGCCCACAAGGGACAGGGCACCACTCAGGATGCTAACAGAGGGTTCAAAATGTGCCTTCATCACGTACATGTTTTTTATTTATCTTTTCCCTTCACATAAAGAGTTGTGCATGCCTTCTAAACAGAAAAGCATGAAGCCACCTTGTCCCAGACTAGACTGTTAGTGCTCCCAGCCACAATCCCTCTTCCTCCTGGGGGAAGTCTGCCCAGTGCCCGCATGTGTGCTGGGTAAGAGGGAGCATCCTGTGTGTCTTCTGAGTCTGCACCCATGCTGCTGCCTGGGCCAGAGGCTCTGTCCACACCAGTGCTGAGCGCAGCACATGCGGGTCTGTGTCGCCTCCAAGCTGGTGGATGAGGGCTCCATGCTAGCAGTCAGAATTTGGGGGCTTTTCCATTTTAGATAAAAGTGGGGGTGTGGTCTTGGCTTTTAGCGATAATTCAATCTCCTTGGTTGCTAGTGGGACTGAGTCTCTCACATCTTACTGTCTTTGCCTCTGGTGGGGGAGGCATGTGGAGCCTTCTGCCCATTTCTCTGTCTTTTAGGCTTCTGGGGTTTCTTCCCAGTTTCTGACCTACTATGCTGCGTAGGTCTCGCACATAGTCATCTCCTCTGGGATTTGCCTTTTTTGCCTTCTGAGTGGTCTTTTTGGTGGACAGAAGTTTGTAATTATAATGCAGTAAGCATCACGTTTTTCTTTTATGGTCAGTGCTTTTTGTGCCTAAGAAACATTCCCTTGCTTCGGGTTCATAAGAATTTTTATATGTTGTCGTCTAAAAGCTTTACCGCTGCGCCTTTCATGGGTTTTAAAGCGGACATGGTTAACTTTTGTGCGGCATGCAGGGAAGGGCTGGATCGATGCATCTTTCCTCACGATCACTTGGCTGCCTCAGAACCCTGCTCTGTCTCCGGTGTCTCTGTCAGCATCTGGCCTGACTCCTCTGCGGTTTCTCTCTCACTTCCAGCGCTGCGCAGGGCAGCACAGCTCTGTAGCCAGACTGCCCTCCCTGAGCCCCAGAAAACAGGGACAGATGGGCCCTCCCACACCCCTCAGGTCATGGGGCCTCCCTTCCTGGCCGCCCTGGCGTGGAACTGGGGGGTTTTCATGAAGGTTCTGTCATCTGCACCCGTGCACAGCACAGCCTCCTGACTGGGTCAGCTTTCAGGTCAGTGTTGGGGTACACAGGCACCTCTGCCTGACCGGTGCAGATGCTGCCACATGCCAGTTCTCGGGTGTGGGGAGCCGCCGCGCGTGCAGAGGGAGGCCGAGGCTGGCGCGCGGACTCCTTCCTGCTGTGGGACTCGGCCTCCTGAGGGACAGCTCACGTCCCCTGGGCTGGGTCCCTGGTTGCAAGTCAGTGGCAGCACGCTGCCTCCAGCCCGAGCCTCTGCGGAGGAGGGTGTGCTCATCTTCCCTCTTTTGAGAACTGTCTCCTTATTGCTGTCAGGATAGGCTCTCTCGGATCGAGCAGTGTCACTTTGGCAGAACTGAGCGTGGGTTTCTTTTTATTCATCCGGCACGAGACTGGGCTTCTTCAGTCTGTCTCTCTCAATCATTGTTGACAGATTGTTGGCATTCTCTCTCCAAGGATTGCCTCTGTCTGTTTCCTCTCTTCTCCCTCAGAGACTCAAGTGAACGTATGTTCTCATTTATCCATTATGAATCTTACCCTTTCTTCTGCATTTTTGTTACAAAAGTCTTTGAAAGAAATAGAAATGTCGATGTTTTTATTTAAGTTCACTAATTCTTTTGACAGAAGCAGGTCTGCTGTTAGACCTGGTTCTCCCCTGTTAGCACGCTGGCAGGCCTGCTTCTTGGGTCTGCTGTCAGGAGCCCGGCTGTCGCGCGCTTTCCCTGCGTGCATGCGTGTTACTTGGAGTGCCTCCCTTGGAGTCACTTGGTTTCCCTTCTTCCCTTTGGCCCCGGCTTGTGGTGTCTCACCTCTGACTAGACCTGGTTTTCTTTGGTAACTGTGTGCTATATTTGGTGTTTATTTGTAGAAATTATATGAGACCAAAGGTGACATTATTTCCTTCAGAAAGGAGTTCCTTTTGCTTTTGCCAGAAGTCTGGGCCAACCAGATGCCCCGAAGCTGGACTTCAGAATTCCTCAGTTGTGCTTAAAATTTTATTTATTATATCTAATCCATCAATAAAATTTTCAGATTATTTTAGTTGAAATTTTTTGAGTCTCATTTTAATAATTTTAAACAAACATTTTATTTTTCATATTCAATAATTAGTACATCCAGAATTTATTTTTTATGTTCTTATTCATTACATAAAGCTTTAGGCATGTAAAAAGGTAGTGGAAATAACCTTACGCACCCCCATGTACCTGTCACCCAACCAATAACCCTCTGCTCACAGTGGTCTTTTTATGACTTTGCTCCTAACCCCTCCTCCAGTTATCTTCTACCTGGAAAACTTCAGACACTGTATCATTCCACATCATCCCTCTCTAAAGGTAAGGACCCTGTTTCAAAACAGAGCCACAGTATCGTTCTCACAACTCAAGTGTTGGAAAGGTCTCAAACATAATACACTCAGCCAGTGTTCCTGTTTCCTCAGCTGTCATCATGCAATGTTTTTTTTGCACTATTAAAATTTTTTAAAGCAGATTTTATTTTTTAGAGAAGAGCAGTTTCAGGTTTACCACAAAATGAGGGAGGTGCAGAAGTTTCCCGTGCCCCTGCTACCCCTCGGAGAGCACGCACCTCTTCGTCTGTGGTCACCGCCGGGACACCTGTCACAGTTAGGGAGCCTGCCTGGGCACGCCATCGCCCAGGGCCCACAGCTTCCTGCGCGGCTCACTCTGCGGCCGGGCCTTCTGTGGGCTTGGACACTGTGGACTGACACGTGCCCGCTGTTGTAGCTTCATACGGAGCGGCTTCACTGCCCTAACGTCCCCCATGTTTTCCTGCTCATCCTCCTCCCCAGCCTCCAGCAACTCCTGACCTTTTACTGATGCCATAGTTTGGCCTTTTCCAGAATGTCATAGAGTTGGAACCATACTATGTACAGAGTATGTGGAGTATGTCACCTTTTCAGATAAGCTTCTCTTACTTAGTAGTTTGTTTTCAAGTTTCTTCCACGTCTTTTCATACCTTGATGGTTCGTGTCTCTTTTTGTGCTTAATAATATTCCATTGTCTGGAGGGGCCAGAGGTTATTTATCCATTCATCAACTGTAGAACATCTTGCTTCCTGCTAACTTTAGTCAATCATGAATAAAGCTGTGATGTGTGCCTGTGTAGACCTAAGTTTGAAACTCATTTGGGTAAATACTAAGGGGATGTGGTGGCAGGATCTCATGGTAAGAGTGTATTAAATATTTAGTTTTGTAAGAAACGGCCACACCATCTTCCAAGCTGGCTGTACCATTTTTACATTCCTGCCAACAATGAATGAGTGTCCCCGCTGGTCCACATCCTCACCAGCTTTTGGTGTTGTCAGTGTTGCAAATCTTGGCCAATTCTAATAACTGTGTAGTGATATCTCACTGTTTGAATTTGCATCTCTCTGATGACATATGATGGGGAGAATCTTTCCACGTGCTCATTTGCCACTTGTGATTCTTCTTTGGTGAGAGGTCTGTTAAGGTCTTTGGCCCCTTTTTAAAACATATTGTTTTCTTATTGTTGACTTTTAAGTATTCTTTATATTTTTAGATAAAAGTCCTTTATCAGATGTGTCTTTTGCAAATGTTTTCTCCCGGTCTGTGGTTTTCTTTTCATTCTCTTGACAGTGTCTTTCACCAAGCAGAAGTTTTTAATTTTAATGAAGTCCAGCTTATGAATTCTTTCTTTCAGGGATCATGCCTTTGGTGTCATATATGTGTTGCCCATCACACAATCCCAGGTCATTTAGATTTTCTCCTATGGTCATCTTTCTAGGATTTTTATAGCTTCACATTTTGTATTTAGGTCTATGAGCCATTTAGAGTTAATTTTTTTTTAAAGAGTAAAAGGTCTGTGTCTGGATTAATTTTTTGCATGTGGATGTCCAGTTGTTCCAGTAGCATTTGTTAACAAGGCTTTCTTTTCTCCACTTAACTATTGCCTCTGTTCCTGTATCAAAGATCACTTGACCGCACTTATTGGGGTCTGTTTTGGGGTTCTGTGTTTTGTTCCATTGGCCTCTTTGTCAGTGTCTCGCCACAGTCTTGATAACTATAGCTCTATAGTAGGTCTTGTAGTCGGATAGTGTTAGTCCTCCAACTTTGTTCTCCTTCAATATTGTGCTGACTATTCTGAGTCTTCTGCCTCTCCACTTAAACCTGACAATCAGTCTGTCAATATCCACAGTATAACTTTTCCAGTGAGTTGGCTCTTTGCATCAAGTGGTCTGCGTATTGGAACTTCAGCTTCAGCATCAGTCCTTCCAATGAATATTCACAGTTGATTTCCTTTAGGATTGACTGGTTTGATCTCCTTACTGTCCATGGGCAGGAAGAGAAGAAGGTGACAGAGGATGAGATGGTTGGATGGCATCACCAACTGAATGGACATGAGTTTGAGCAAACTCTGGGAGACAGTGAAGAACAGGGAAGCCTGCCGTGGTACAGTCCATGGGGTCCCGGAGTCGGACATGACTTAGCAACTGAACAACAACAACAGAATAACTTGCAGTGATTTTGACTGAGATGGCATTGATCTGTAGATCAAGTTGGAAGAACTGATATCATGACAATATTGAGTCTTCTTTTCCGTAAACATAAAATATTTTTCCAATAATTTAGTTATTCTTTGACTTCTTTCATTG